CTTCAAGCTATAGGGCATTGATTTTCTTTTTGATTTTACATTTTTTTTTGTAATGTCCTACTTTCCCACAATTATAACACACTGGAATCTTTATTTTTCCTCTTTTAAAATTGGTTTTTGGGACAAACTTTCTAGTAACTTTATCTTTAATATCTCTTTTTTTACTAGATTTATACTTTTTATTTTTATTTTTTCTTTTATAAGGTTTATCAGATGAAGGTACCGTATTATAGCCAAATTGTTCTAAAAAATCTCCTAGTTTTTAATAAAAAAGATTTACTTGATAGACTTGTGAATGCTTGTATATTATCTAAATTTGATTTAAAATTAGGTAAATTCAAACTTTACACTATGACCTTCTATGTATGATTCAATTCCTATATTATCTATTTTCAAAGGATATAAAAGATTTAAGAAAGGGGTGCCTAGTATAACAGCTTGGCTTAGCCTTTTTACCATAATGAAGGGCATTTCATAGCAATTACCATTTGTTACATATTGCAGCATTAGACAACTTATACTTAATTATTAGTCTACTTCTATCTGCTGTATTGAGTATTTGAGTTGTTTTGCTGAAATATTTTGTAGGCACTAGTCCTTCATTTATAAACTTAAGGTCTACCCCTAAATCTATCAATGCTAAGGATTGAAAGCTATATTCATTCTGCACTATTATTCTTATTAAAGTAAACCATTTCTGAGTAATAAATTTATCAAATAGGTTTACATAATTATTATCTTATATAAGTTTATCAGCAGAATTAGATGATTTTGAGGTTTTAATTATTGAAGGTACTGGATTTTTATTGTTTCTTAAGAGATTACCAAATTCTAATTCTTCATTTGTATCATCCTCAGAAAAGTCAGCATACATTTCTAATATTCTTATTCTATTTTTGAGATGCTGTACTTCAGATTTTACTTCATTAATTTCTTGTTCTAAATCAGAAATGGATGGTTCCTTCTGGGCCAGTAGAGATAGACGAACAATAATGAATACTAATATTAATGAAGAAAAGAACAAAATGGACATTGTCCCATCACCATCTTCAGGAAAACCTGTAATAAATTATCCAGGAACCCCAAACCAGGTCATAAAAAGACAAGCCCAAGAACTTGTCCCCTCTCTTAGTCCAATAAAGATTCTTACATCAGAAAAATCGTTGTTTATAGAAACTACTTTTTTAACTGATATTATAATTGAAGATGAACACTGGAATTTGGATCTAGTAAACATGGCCAATATTTATCTGATCGATAATTTGAATCCCTCCAATGGTAATAAAACAAGGGAATGGTACGAAGCGATTCTCCCAGAAACAGTTCTATCACTTTGGTATATTTTTACCAAAGAAATACGAATATAGTTGCTTATTCAAAAGTTCAAATAAGAAAAGTGATATTCTATAAAGAATGGGGCTTAGATCCCATAAGAAGTAGAAAGTTACAGGCACCTGAGTTTAATAATAAGTACTACAAATATTATGAACCTATAGATGCCTGGCATAAGGTTTTCTCCCTAAAAAATAGTAATAATTCTCACACCTGGTTCATACAGATGAAATTGCCAATAGTAGAAAAATTTCCTAATTGCTTTAGGAATTGGTTCCAGATCTAGGGATCCGGGACATAGATTCTTCTTCCTAAATTACAAACTTCTCAAGACAAGTTTGCATAATTTAATAACCCAAATAGATCACCATCTATATTTTATGGCAATATACCAAATTCCCTAGATTATGAAATGGACTTTTGCAATATCTGATAATTTTACCAATGATTGGGAATAAATCCCAAAACTAGGAAAAAAAATATATATTAAATGGTGGGACGTCTCTGAGAACAAGCTCAATGACCCTGAAAATATTAAATTAAGAAAGGTACCAACTCAGGGACCAGAAGACAGCCCGAATAGTTTTGCCGAATATATTAATAAAATGAAGAGGCAAAACCCCACAGCAACAAAAGAAGAATTAAAAAAGTAGTTGCTTCAAATGTTTGAAGAAGAAGGGGAAGCGATGTCAACCTCGTCACAAAATGATGAAGACTATACGGTTGAGAATGAAGACTGTGAATTGATGCAACCAGCAATTCAATTTTCTCAATAAGAAGAAAAGCCCAATAATACTCAAATATTCAGCCCGAAGAATAAGTTGTTGTCTGTCACTATCAGAATTATTAAAGCCACCTACCAGCAGATTGCAGTTGTCCCTAGCTGGCCGACACTTCAAAGCCACCTTGTCAAAAAGAGATTTGCCAGTACTGTTCCCAGATACCCACTAGCTAATACGACAAAGCCACCGACGATTACGGTCAAACTTTTACTGTTTGGAGATAATGCCGACAAGACACTGTTCAAGCCTTTAGCCAAATCAAAATGTTGTGCCACCACCTTTTGATAAATCAAAATATTGTTTTAGCATTTATGTGACACCGACCTATGAAAAAGAATTGATAACTCTTTGAAATCTGAGGCCTATAAATGGATGAGGCGTGGCATAAGTTCAGCATCCGAAGAAGGAGTCTTCTCTCTGCTCTCTTCCATCTACTCTCTTCCTAGCTTCTTCTCTTATCTCTTTCTAAAATCCTGCTCAAGAGCCTAAGTTCAAAACTTTAGAGCACTTCTTTCTCAGCTTGACACTCTACTCCAAGTTCGGGTACTATTCTAAACATTCTGATAAATTGCATATCGTTGTCTGAAACCCCTCCAGTTCTCTTTAAATCGTACTGAGCCTTCTAGTTCCTCTTTTCATATTCTTAATCCAGTAGTTATTCAGTCTCATCCTTTCCTGCTTTTTGATAAAACCTTATCTGTCTTATGCCTACTCTTTCTTTATTTATGCTGTATATCTAGTGGTGAATCATTAACTACTTGAAAATTGAGTGAATGAGAGTATACATGTGACTGTAATATCAATAGTTTGTCAACTTATTGTCCAGAGGAGTGGAAGCTCTTCACCAGTTTCTGTATATGTAATATGTAAGTTCTTTCTTATTTATGCTGTAAGATCTTTCTAATTTTTGGAAGTTCTTTCTTGTAATCTACTGGTACTTCTTTGATATGCAAATAAAGTTTGTATTTAGTATCAAAATTAGAGATATTACTTATACTAATTGGATTGTGCTTGATATCTCTCCTTTTTCCTTATTTATCCTGATAACTGTACTTATTTATCTTGGATATGTTAGATTTTTTATTTAATATCTGTTAAAATATTTGAAATTTGTCAAAAATAGATCTTGGTTGGTTGTTGGTATCAGAGCCATTGAATTTTATCAGTAGTACACTGAAAGAAGATTATAATATCCTAAAGGTTAATAACTTAATAAAATTTACCATTTAGAGGTAAGACCGAGAGAGTTGAAACCAAGGTCGTAGTAGTCCATCGCTGAGGTAGGCCAAGAGAGCCGTGAAAAGGCACTGTGACATAAATCTATTGATCCGTGTCCTCATCCGTTACCTTAAATGGAAAATTTTACTACGCCGCTATCCAATAGGACATTATCATCATCTAACAGTACATTAAGGATAAAAAATAAAGAGGAAATAATAATAGATAACATAGAAAAACAAATACATAATTGGAACATTCTAAAAGTTCCTATTACTGATATCTACAAAAGGGGTACCTTTGAGTTTAAAACCAACTATGCAATAAAAACCGTAGAACAAAGTTTATCAGTAAATAGTGAACAAGAAAGTTTTCAACTGTCATCTAATAAGATGATTCAAAACCATAAAGATAAAGCCTATAAGTACCTACACATAGGTCTTATACAAATAGCAGTAAAACCCCTCATTAGGCTAGGATTAAATAACTCTATATTATTATGCCTTAGATATAGTAGACATAATAAGTTTTCTGATTCTCTGTTAGGAGTAGTAGAGTCTAGTTTATGTAGTGGTCCTGTTTATTTCAATTGTTTTTCCAATTACTCGGTCTCATTAACAGACCCCAATCTTCTTAAAGTCCTTACCCTAAATCTTAAGTCTCAAGGATTCGATATAAATTCGAGCTCTCAAAACATAGCTCTAATTTATAGAATATGTTATAAAGTTATGAATACATTAAGTCCAAATGTCCTTCAAATGTATACCAAGGGACAGACAATATTTTTTCAAACAAATATGGAAAAATCAAACACTGTTATCCCCAAATCAATAAATTGGTCCCAAGTTATACTCCTATATAATTGGTCTATCCATGATGAGAATCAACAGTATAACATATTAATAATGAGCCGGATCAAATAATTGAACATCCGGATGGAAATATTGAGATTCAATTCAGTTCTAACGAAGGGCAAGATTGAACTTTTCTAAAGATATAATAAGGCCTACTAGAAGAATGACTGCACCATGTAGACATTCTACCTCATCAATATAAGATAAACCTTTCATACAAGGATTAACGAGAACTAATAGTAACATTAATATACCCGTATACAAGGCATATGATCCCAGTTCATCAGGAAGTGAGCCAACCTTCTCTGACCTTGATTTTAATATTCTGACTCTTCAGAAAGAAGAAAGGTCCAAGGTAGACATAGAATTATTAAAAAATGATTATCTATCTGAAGCTAATAAAGAGATAAGAGAAGGGTATCTATCAGAATTCTCACAAGAATTATTAGACGCCTTTCACAAAAGATACAATAAGTTTATAAAAAGAAATAAACAAAACCTAGGATTCTTTGACTGGTTGAAATCAACTCTTAAAGAGAAAGATATTCCTATCCATACCTTTGAGGTAAATACATTAGAAAACCAATACCAAACCATCTATACGATAGACAGAGAAGAAATACAAAGTATACACCCCCCAGAAAAAAATCTCCAATTAAAAGGAATGTTAAAAGATAAACTTGAAACAAAAGGCTCTCCTTATAAGTTGGCCCCCTAATGAGCATGGCCATAAAATAGAGATGATCCCACATATAATACAACAAAACAATTATACAAACCTTTGTTTACAGTTTATTGGAAACAGACTACTAGAATCGAAAACATAATAGGAAAATCTCAAGGAGAAGTACCAGAGAAAAAGAAGGCAGTACTATTCAAACTTCCTCCAGAGATAAATGAAGAAAGATTCAGCCTGAAAAGAATAAAAAAGAAAGAAGAAAACAAAGAATTGGTTGATGAACTGGTAAAAAAACTATCCCAGTTAAGTATAAAAGATAAAAAAGGGAAAGGGATAGTAGTTGAATCAGAAGCCATGGTGCTTCAAGAAGATTCAATAAATAATGATGAAATATTCAAAATAGAGGAAGCCTTCAAAGAAGGCAATTCAAATATTAATAGGATAGATTATGGAAGGAAATGGAGGCCTACTGCCCAATCAAGAATGTACCATACTAGGCCAACCCCAGTAGGTATACAATTTGAATAGAATTTAATTTCAAGTACTGTTTCCTACTCAGGAAGAACGATTGTCAATTGGAATATCGATGGTATGTCTAACCATCAAATACTAGATACCATGAAGCATATAACCATGTATGCTACTGCTTGCAAGGTAGCTGGAAATCATGACCAAGAGGTAGCCAAAGCCATTGTTTGTAGATTTACAGGATGGTTAAGAGGATGGTGGGATTTCCACATGAATGAAGCTTCTAAACAACAAATATTAAACGCTACAAGGCAGTGGACTGTAAAAAATGAATATAATTAAGAGTTACCTCATAGTGAAATTGATGCAGTTAATACACTTATCTATACAATAACTCTCCATTTTGTAGGAAGTACTTCCTTACTAAATGCTAGATAAGAAGACCTATTACGTAATCTAAGATGTCCAACATTATCTCATTACAAATGGTATAAAGATGTATTTTTTTCTCGCCTTCTGTCCTGAGATGACAGTAGTGCGGACCATTGAAAAGAAAAATTTATAGCATGTCTATCTTACCTGTTTGCTGAAAAAGTAAAAAATAGATTGAAGAATAAGAATGAAGGAATAATCCCATACTCCCTTTACACTTTAGGAGAACCATTTGCATACATTTATGCAGAAAGTATTGCCTTGTGTACTGATTTGAAGTTAAAAAGGCAACTCGATAAGCAGCGAATGATGGGCAAGAAAGAACTAGGAGATTTTTGCGAACAATTTGGCTATAATACGGTACCTTCATCTGATAAACCTTATAAAAGAAAAAATAAAAATAAAAAAGTATAAATCTAGTAAAAAAAGAGATATTAAAGATAAATTTACTAGAAAGTTTGTCCCAAAAACAAATTTTAAAAGAGGAAAAAGAAAGATTCCAGTATGTTATAA